GTTATGTGATCGCATTAGAAGCAAAATAATGCAATAAAAGCTTCCTAAGGGCTTTAATAAAGAAAATAAAGAAAATGTCATTTTATGGAGAAAATTTGTGGCGCCATCTGGCGGAGAAACTGCGAACTAAACTGAAAAACGTATGCCCATACACGTGTTAAGGAAAAATATGAAAGGTAATATTTCGGAACTTTGACGACGGAGTAAGTTTCTTTAGATATTTTAAAGCAATTTTCGTTGAATAAATTATTCATTTTTTGGCCTATTAAGCCCAGAAAATTAATGTTTATTTGACCCCTTTCCCGCGTGTTCGGACATACGTTTTTTCAGTTTAGTTCGCAGTTTCGCCGCTAGATGGTGCAACAAATTTTCTTCATAAAATGACATTTTTTTTATTTTCTTTATTAAAGCCCTTAGGAAGCTTTTATTGCATTATTTTGCTTCTAATGCGATCACATAACCCTTTCTGAGCCTCAGAAGTACTCAAAGTTTGTTAATTTTCGAGAAAATCGCATTTTTACATTTTTATAGTTCCAACTTTCACCGCTAGATGGAGGCCAATTTTTTAGTTCATGTTTTGACCTATTTTTTTATTTTCTTTTCTAGCGCTCTGAGGAGGTTGTTGTGGCATTATATAGGTTCTAGAGGGGTCAGAGAACAATTTTTGACCCTCAGAAATACATAAAATTGCCTAATTTCGGAGAAAATAGAAATTTTAGTTTTTCGTAGTTGCGCCTCTCGCTGCTATATGGCGCCACCGGTACCGTTTTCGACCGAATTCGACAAAAATTCATTTTCTGGCTTTATTGAGAATCAAAACGCATCAAACCCTAATAGAAATTTGTTTCTAAATGCCTCAGGAACCATACTACGTCGCCAAAGTACCGAAATATTCATTTTTTTTATGTACTTGACTTTTCAACTTTTTTGTCCACGTTTTTCTCTTGCACCACTCAACTAGTCCAACCGGATGATACGGTTGACTATTTTTGCTTTAGCGTGAGATTTACTCGCTCGCTCAACATTGTTAGGTTAGGCGCTCCGCGCCTCAATCGAACACTCCTAGTTTGTAATTATTTTCATTATGTAAAGACGGTTGATCACGTTCGCGCTCAGCCGACAGGCTCAAAGCTGTCGCTCTAGCGCCTAAGCGCGCGCAATCCTCGCGCTCTGATTGATCTCTGTTTCTGCTTAATAATTCAAAAACAATGCTTCAAATTCGACAACCATCTCAGGTACATACCCGCCAAATTATGTCTGTCTATGATTAATATGTACCGAATTATTTAATTTTTATTGGTTACCCCTTTTTGGTCCGCCTATTTTTCATATATCTAAAAACCTTCATGAAAGCATATATGTGCGCCAACTTTCACCGTGATTGGTCAAACGGTGACGAAGCTATTAATTTCTTACAAACAAACTTCCATTTTTATATATATAGATTAGCTATTAAAAATAATACACGTTAAAAAAAATATTTGAACGTCTCTTTCTAATTAATATCATTATAAATGTTAGTTTCGAAGATAGTAATAATTTGTTTGACTATATGTATACCATAGAAACTGAATGTGACATTTGTGAACTCACCGGAAGATAATTCCCGCCAAATTCTGTTATGTTGTTTCCTCGTTGAATGGTTGAACGTCGTTATTTAATTATAATTGTTTAAATGCATATAAGTTGAACTGTTTTTTGTGATTGTATAAAAAAATGGATGCTGGAGATACGCAGGCTACTGGAACTCGTATATTTGATGAAGTCGGAATTAAATGTCAAAAGTTATTTCAAGATTTCCTTGAAGAGTAAGTTCACATGTTACTGAAACTAAATAATGCAATAGTATTCATTTGGTAAATCATATATTAATCATATTTTGTTTTTAATTAGATTTAAAGAGGATGGCATTGTGAAATATCTTGAACCAGCTAAAGAGCTTATAAGTCCAGAACATAGCACATTAGTAGTCACGTTTGATGATGTTGAAGAATATAATCAAGTACTTTCAACAACTATCGTTGAAGAATATTACAGGTAAATGATTTATGTTCAATTATTATAGTGCAGAATTTATTATTTTTATGTTGAACAAATTCTATTAAATTCTGGTTTTTGGTAATAATTCTTCTGATTAATATAAAATATTATTTACTTTTAGAGTATATCCATATCTGTGTCAAGCGGTATGTAATTTTGTCAAAGATGTATCAGAATCAAGAAAAGATTTAGAATGTTATGTAAGTTTTGTGGAGGTACCGACTAGACAAAAATTAAGAGAGTTAAATTCAGCAAAATTAGGAACCTTAATACGTATATCTGGTCAAGCGATAAGAACACATCCTGTTCATCCAGAATTAGTGTTCGGTACATTTATTTGTATGGATTGCAATGCTGTTATAAAAAATGTAGAACAGCAGTTTAAGGTACAATATAAATATTTCTTAGTTAAGTTTTTTATATTATTAATTGTATTAATACTCATAAAATCATTTATAGTTCACAAATCCGACAATTTGTCACAATCCAGTGTGTAGTAACAGACGACGCTTTATGTTGGATGTAGACAATTCTGTATTCATTGATTTTCAAAAAATTAGGATACAAGAAATACAAGCAGAACTACCAAGAGGCTGTATTCCTCGTTCACTCGAAGTGATTTTACGAGCTGAGGCTGTTGAAACTGTACAAGCTGGTGATAGGTACTTTTGATGGAGAAAGTTATGTATCATTAATTTTTTAGGTGTTTTGTTAAAATTTTGTTTATGTTTTCTAGGTATGATTTTACAGGGACTCTTATAGTAATACCAGATGTTGCAGTTCTTTCTCTTCCTGGTGTAAAACCTGATCTGAAAGCAAGACGTGGAAATCCTATGGAACAAGGAGAAGGCCTAACAGGATTGAAAGCATTAGGGACCCGTGAATTAACGTATAAAACTGCGTTTTTAGCATGTAGTGTTACTCCGACAAGTTTCAGGGTATAACATTTACGTTATAATTGACAGTGCTAATTAGAAATGTATGTTTTAATGTATAATGTTTCTGCAGTTTGGTGGCACTGAGACAAATATGGAAGAAATTTCACAAGAAATGATGAAGAAACGCATGACAGAAGCAGAATGGAATCGTATATATGAAATGAGTCGTGATAAAAATTTATATCAAAATCTTGTTAATAGTTTATTTTCTTCAATACACGGTAACGACGAAGTTAAAAAAGGAATAACTTTAATGTTATTCGGTGGAGTTCCTAAGACAACGTTAGAAAATACCTCGTTACGAGGAGATATAAACTGTTGTATCGTTGGTGATCCTAGTACAGCAAAGTCTCAGTTCTTAAAAAGCGTCGCTGAGATTACTCCAAGAGCAATTTATACCTCGGGAAAAGCATCTTCTGCTGCTGGTTTAACTGCCGCCGTAGTAAGAGATGAAGAATCTCCTGATTTCGTTATTGAAGCTGGTGCTTTAATGCTCGCTGATCACGGTATTTGTTGCATCGACGAGTTTGATAAAATGGATCTTAAGGATCAAGTTGCTATACACGAAGCTATGGAACAACAAACAATTTCAATCGCCAAGGTTACTTGATTATAAAACAGTTATTAAATTTTTAAGCTATAGCATATATTCATATGAAGTTATTTTTTCTTAGGCCGGTGTAAGAGCAACTTTAAATGCTCGAACATCAATATTAGCTGCTGCGAATCCCATTGGCGGACGATACGATAGAAAAAAATCTTTACAACAAAATGTTCAGTTAACAGCTCCTATTATGTCCAGATTTGATTTGTTCTTTATTATAGTTGACGAATGCAATGAAATCGTGGATAATGCTATAGCTAAAAGAATCATCGATTTACATTGCGATAATTGGCAGGATTTTGAAACAGTATATACGCAAACGGAGATTATTAGATATATTAATTTTGCGAAACACTTTAAACCTGTTCTAAGTCAGGTATTATTATACTTAATTAAACAGAAACCTATAATTATTTGAGCTGATTGAATTGATTTAAAAACATTTTAGGAAGCTGCAGAGTATTTAGTTGATTGTTACACAACTCTTAGGCAAAGAACTGGTGGTGGAGCTGGAAAATGGAGAGTCACTGTTCGACAACTTGAAAGTTTTATCAGATTATCAGAAGCTATGGCTAAACTTGAATGTTCAGATGAAGTTACTATAAAGCATGTGAAGGAAGCTAAACGTTTATTAAGTAAAAGTATTGTTACTGTGGAACAACCTGATATAGATTTGGAAGAAGCAGAAGATGGCAATGTGGACGGTCACTTGGATGAAGCTCCACCTGCAATGGCTGCACTTAATGCAATCGATAATAATACATCAGAGACCCGTATATTTTTTATTTATATTTTTGTATATTTGGATTTGTTTTTGACATATAGTTATATTGTTCTGTTGTGATGTTATACCTTTAGCAGCACAAGAAGTACTAACTCAGAAAAAGAAATTAACGATGTCTTTCGAAGAATACAAGAATTTATCCAACATGTTGATATTGTACATGAGGGGTGAAGAATCTCGCGCAGAAAGTGAAGCCATGGGTAAGCGGTTCATAGTGGTGGCAAATAAAACTGTCGTGTATACATTTATTTCAGATAAAAATATATTACTTTTTTTGTAGAAGAAACTAAAGGTGGATTAAGAAAATCTGAATTAGTGGCATGGTATCTTGATCAAATACAGGATCAAATAGACTCAGAAGAAGAACTATTAGAAAGGAAAAACTTTATTGAGAAAATTATCGACAGACTGACATATCATGTACGTATTAAAGTAGCACTCTAGGTTATCTTCAATTTATTATCATTTCAATATGTAATTAATTTCTTTTCAGGATCAAATTATAATACCTTTGACCACGCGTGATTTAAGAAGTAAGGATAAAGAAGAAGATGATCCCGTGTTAGTTGTACATCCGAATTACATTCTTGATGCGTAGTTTGTATTATACATTTTATACCCAAATGAACGTAACTATTTTTAAAGAAACTTAATAGTAAATAGAGGTAAAAATTAAAACGGAATAATTTCTTTTTTACGTTCTCTGAGAGTTTGTTTTAGAATTAAGTCAATTTTTACCTCTAATTGCCACGATCAATTAAAAACACTGATTTTATAACGAAAAGTGAACAAATCTTTTTTACAGTTTTTTAACAAATAAATATTTATATTCGTATGCAGTGTGCATTTATTTCATTCATTATTGTTTATTTCAGCATACAAATTTAAACATAGCTAAAATTGTAGTCGTTTGTTAATGTATAAGTTAGACTTTACCTGTCGTAATCGTTAATCGTGTTAATTGTCTAGTAGATATTCGTGCTAATTTCTCTGTACCCTATTTGTACAAACTGAATGTTCAGTTGAAATAAATCATTGACACAAGTAAACATTCAAGTTAGAATGAAAACTAAATAATGTAAAGTATTTTGATCTTTAATTAGAATTTTAGATATTGATATCGCTTTGCTAACAGTTATGATTTAGCGAAAAAGAAAACGTGACTCTATCATAAATTTACCTTAAAAGTGGTAGGGGCATTTGCACAGCAGTTAAAAGGATTTATCTGCTCGTAGAAATTATAGTCGTACATGATTCAACTATGAGTGCGAGATACCGATCTCAAAAGTCAACGCACGAAGTAAGTGTTAAATACAGAATAGCAAAATATAAGTATTAGGCATTACCATAAAGCATAATTAAATGTCGTAACAAGTACATACGTAAATACTTTTTAAATTAAATACTTAAGTATTTTTATTTTTTCAAATTATATTTATAAATATAGTTCAAATGCAGGAATATTCACCAGTGGCATGTCTTGGGAACTTTGTCATCCTACAAGATTTCTTGTCAGAAAAAGAGGGCTTCATTTGGAATATACTTTTCTTATTGAACGTGCTTCTACGAGGTTTTAGTCATGTAAGGTATCAGTTATTAGTAGCTTTTAATAAGTAAATACAACTATAAATGTTATTGTAACAATGCTTGAAAATTGTAAATAAAAAAGGCTATGAGTGCCATATTTTAAAATATTACTTTTGTTTATAAAAAGAGTGTTTATGTGGAAGCTACTGTCAGGAAATATGGGTGAAAATGTTACTACAATAGTACATTTATAGTTTTCATCAGTAATAACTGTTGACTTATTTTGTCAATAAATAATTTAATAAACAAAATGTCTTCTTAGTTTTAACACTTATAGCCTTATTTGTTTCCAATCTATATTCATACGCATACATTCATGAAAGCTTTAATCTTTATGTATGCATTATAAAACATATATTTGTGATATAGTAATATTAACTGTAAAATTCTACGAAACGTTTTCCTGGCCTAATAAACGAACAATAAATTAGTGATGTTTTTTTATTAATACGCTACTTTTTTATTGTTATTTAGTATAATATTAGAATTCATAGATTGTACACCTACTTAGTAGAATATTCAAAATAATACATAAATTTACAGACGACGATCACAAATAATCCAATCAGCGGATTATTGATAGCAATTTCGGTAGGAGTGGCTTCTCCTGGTGTTCTCGTTTTTGGATTATGTGCTGGCTTTTTAGGTCTGTTGCTGTCAATGGTATGTAACATGAACTATGTTAATTTTTTAAAGTTAATAGTTGATTAACATTTTGTTATTTATAACAGGTATCTTTATAATTAACGAGATTTATTATTTAGTTATAATAATTATTGTACAATTATTGTACAAAATTGAAAAATTTGTACAATCAAAACCAGCTTATAGTATATAGTATCTGAAAACATTTTTCTTTTATTCTACCTACTCTGTAAATACATTATTTTACATTTACGTCTTTAATTTGTTATTTTTAATGACAAAATATTAAATGTCAAAACATGAAGATATAAAAGGAAAATGTTGGAAGTTGCTCCTGTTTCAATAATAAAAGTGTGCATAGCTTAAAAGTAGTTTTGTTTCAATGTAGTACTAAATTCAAGGTAAAAAAGTATCCTAAAATAATGTATATGTTACCGTGAAAAACCGAAATCTGGTGAATGTCGACATTCTCCAATTTCGGTCTTTCACCGTAACATATACATATTAATTCGACAAAAAATATCGAGCTAATTAAAACAATAGAAAAGAGGATGACTATAGGCAAATTAGCGTAATCAAAAATATTTTAAGGCTTCATCCATTTTGATTTCATCTTCATAAATAATTACTGTTTGCACTCTGATTTAGGAAGCTAACAAATCCTTTGTGCATATTCGGGTTTCGATTTTTTTCCTTTTTTTCTTCCATCATAATCTATCGCTTTGTAAGAATGAAGCAATATTACTGCAATGCGGAACTCTTTGCAAAAATTTACATACGCCAAAGAATCCTTTACGCTTTCCACGTATACTGAAAAGTACACGTGTTATTTAAAAATAATACATATATCATTTATTATTTCTAGTTAATACGAGATTCACAAAATGACATTGCAAACGGCTTAACGGTCTACAATCCGTTATTAGTTGGCGCACTTTCATATGTTTTCATACCAAAATTTTATGGAGAATTCGACTCTTTCAGTATACTTATGACGATCTTGGCAATAATATTCAGGTATGTTCCCATAAACTAATATGTATATTGTTCAATAAATCATATTTTATTGTACAATCGGAGCTACTGCGTGCAAATTGTTCGCTAGCAATGATAACATTTATTTTCACGACATTATTTAAGAAATCCCAGATATACATCCTACAGTTATATCACCATCTGTTGTAATAGTCTCGCTTTATATCACAACACATTTTATAACTCCAAGTAATATACCCACGTTATATCGTCAAACATTATTATCAATGTACGTCCACTTTAACTTTTATCTAGATTTTTTCACAATTTGTGTAATTCAAAACGTTTTAAATGGTAAACATTTGTACTAAAATGATTTGATTTATTTAAAAAATAAATTTGTATACTTATCAAGAAGCAATGAAATTAAATCGTAAGATATACAAATCATTATGGTATATACTTGTTAATATTCGGAAATATATTAATAAATAGTTGTTAACGTTTTCAGCGTTTATATAAGACGTGCCTTTAGCAACAGTAATATACCGTACACAGCATGGCCATTTAATCTGGCTGAATTTACGTTGCTGTTTGTCCTTTATACGGAAGACAATGGATTTGGCGCAACAGAGAAACTGCAAGTAACCATGGGAATGGTAATTGAATTTCTTATATGCATTTAAATTCTACTAAAAAAATTCGAAAGCTATTATGGAACAGTCGATCTTGTAAAAATAGCAAACTTGAGTTTTCTTCTTTTAAATTACAAAAAGGAATATTACATTACTAGACCGTCATTTTCAGTGAAATATAAAGTCATTATAATAGTTAATTTATTCATTTTTCCTATTTTCCAATTTAATTTCACGTGAATACAGGGTGCTCACCACATTTTGTCATCTGGATTTGCGTTATTATTATTACTCGTAGCAAACATTGTTTTAAATGAACTTGAATGGTTTTGAGAGAGGCATATGCTGGTGGTATATTTTTTTTTGTGGGTGGACGTGTAAAGGACATATGAAGGTCATATATATGAATCATATATTTTTGATTGCATCAGCTGATACTCCTTCATATTCTTTACAAAAAGTATTAATCCATTTATGTGAAAAAATCATTGGTTCAGGAGATATTTTAATTTTAATGTCTATTTACAGAAAAGGTTCAATGTGGCGACCATTTGCATCAGAACACTTTCTGAATCGAGAAATTAATGACTTACTAACATTCCGTAGTGCATAATCTTTCTGCATGTGTAGTACTTTTCCCAGCTTCAAAATAAACTGATAACATGTCTATCTTTTCTTCTTTAGAATACTTTATTATGAAGTGATAATTTACCTATTGTCGTATTCATCGTATTAGAGACGTAACAGCGACAAAATTTCACTGTTACTGCGTAACAAAAAAAAAAAGAACTCACAATTCGTTTGATGACACGTGACCTCTCAAAGCATGTAGAAAAACATTTGCTGTTCAGTTAGGGCAATTCATAATATTGACCAGAAAGTTACGATTTGCTAGCAAGTTAGAATTAAAATATCTCCTAAACTAATGATTTTTTCACATAAATAGATTAATACTTTTTTGTAAAGAATATGAAGGAGTATCAACTAGTGCAATAAAAAAGATATGATTCCATTTAAAAAAACATTAATAACCTTCATATGTTCTTTACACGTCCAGCTACAAAAAAATATACCACCAACATATGCCCCTCTCAAAACCATTCAACTTCATCTGAAACATTGTTTGCTATGAGTAATAATAATGACGCAAATCTAGATGCCAAAATGTGGTGAGCCACCCTGTATACAGGATAGTGATAATGAATAGAACACGGATTTTTACTTTCCTCTAAATGAACAACTTTTTGCACTGGTGCGCTCTGTTGAAAATGGACAAAGTATGAGCGAAAAACAAAGTGTGTTTGTTCGAAACAAGTCCCTTTCACGGTCTTTCCGATAACATCCACTTTACTACTCGTCGCATTGTTGTTTTTCAAATCACGCATCTTCGCAAACTGCGGCTTTTATTCTGCAACAAAGTCGTGCACTAAAGCTTCTAAATAAATGAATACTTATCAAATTTAATGTCGGTATGACAAATTTTAATATTTTGATTTTTTCTTCAAGTGTGAGATGCCGCCATTTTAAGTTCTATTTAAAATTACAAACAAAACTTTGCATTCTAAATACACGTGGAAATAATTTCCATATGTTGCGTACTTTTCGTGAAAACCATTATGAAAATTATTTGTCACGTGTTGTTAAAAGTCTTCTTTGAAACAAAAGTGAAAATAAGAAAAATAAAATATCTATAATTTTTTTAAGACTTCGTTAAAGTATCATTAACTAAAAATTCATATTTATAAATATTCAATAATATTTTACAATTTCTTATGACTATAAAAACATAATTACATTAGATCGTTGTAGAATGCTCCGTACGTTTATTAATTTTAAATCTACACAAACAAAAATAAAACATGTAAACTTATGTAAACATTGTTTTAATTTAGTGAGCAAAAGTTAAATTATAACAATTATTGAGGAGATAACAGACTTTATTAATTCAGAATTTTACAAATATATTTTACGATTATTTACACGGCAATTATTATTTCATACATGAAGCAAAAACGACGAATACGTGTTAACCAAAGATATTTTTGTGCGAAATATTTGCATGAAACTAGAAGTTTGTTTAAAAGCAGCGCAGAGAATCGTTTAACCAGTTTACGAAATATTATACTTATAGAAACTAGTTTGAAGGTATAAGTTTATTTTTTTCGTTCGTATCAAACAAAATTTACATAATTTTTAGCTTAATATTGTGGATGTGCATGCTAAAATGGTAATACTTTTAAATTATGGAAAACAAGTCAATTTTTTAGACTCGTTAGAGAGTTGCCAATGTTTGGTAACTTTCTCCTAAGTGCTATGTAAATTATTTAGTATTAGATTATTCTGAGAGTTTCCTCAATATTCTGTACCTGATTTTAATGCCATATAAAGTATTTTAATATTTGTTAGAAGAGCATGTATTGAATTCGCATATATCAAGTTTTGCTTCATTCGTATAATAATTTCTTACGTTTCACATATTTTATTACTGGGCAGAAGACAATTTGATCAAAGTTAAAACATAATAATCAAACTAATAGGTTTACGTCAGAAATGTATATAACCCTTTTTCCAGAGATTTTCGTGAGCTTCATTTTTTGTTCGGAACATTTTTCTCTAAAATCAATTATTTAGTCAGAACTTTGAAGTGGAACAAACGAGGTTCAAAAATCTTTTTGGGGGCTTTCTTCCCTAACCAACTTGGTTATAATTTCAGCAGAATCGGAGCTGTACTCTAAAGTAATATAATAAAAAATATTGAATTAGAGTCTTCGAACGTCTTAGAGACATAGAAACTTTCAGGCTGACCTAATACTTTCTCGCATAAATTAATATCCAGTCGAGTGAATGATCGTCATGAAAGAAGGATTGGTTCCTCGGCGAGAATATGTAGTTTTAGCCGAAGTTTTCTCTCGATCGTGGACGTCAATGGTCGAACTACCCCAGTTTTAAGCACAGGGTTATGTGCACCCGAACAAAGATATCGCGTTCGTGTATATGCACGTGTTATGTGTGTCGCGTCCATGTACATGATCAGTTGTTTATACCGTGCATTGTTATTGTTTCCAGGACAATGCAACAAGTGATGCGACGACAGGCAATGTCAGTTTCATTGGAGAAAATGCAACGAGGACCCATATTGACTGGGGAATGGTAAAGTTTGCATGTGCTCTACTTTTCACTATTCGATCATGTTCCACGCGGTTCAAAGTATCGGGTCGAATTTTTCAAGGAGAAATGAATATGCTCTTCCTTTTTCGTTCGGGCTGCCGGTGATTACGAAAGTGCGCAAAGTCGAAATTCCATTATGGTTACATTATCGAAGTAAACTTGTATTTCTTTATGAATCCAATTTACGAATATTTAAACAAAATAGTAGACGTAAAATTATCAAATTTTCAAGCTTCCTGCTTCTACTTACATCATCAAATTCTGTAATTTTCAAATGTTCAAATTTCCAAATATCCAGATCTTGAAGCTATCAAATTATTAAACGTACAGATCTCCAAACTACTGTCATCAAATTCCCAAATCCATAAATCTTAGAATTTCTAAACTCTTCGAGAAAAATTTCCTTCGTCGGCTTTTTCCTAGACTCATACCACTTTGTCGATAAACAGACGTGTGTAGCACCATTGTTGTCGAGTCAACACTTTAAAAAATCTGATTCACACCGCATTTTTTTTATCTTGTAACATCATAGTTTTTGTGCTGCAAGATCAAACGTGTTATCATCTGTAAGAAACGATGAAACGTGCTTGTTTATGTGATAAACTGAACCATGCTGTAAAAAACGGGACGTGCTGTTTTTCTCAACGCACGTCAAGATTCTCATTAAAAATTGAACGAAAAATACGAAATGTTTGACACATAATTTGTTTTGTAGTTTAAAATGTAACACATAAAATATTTCGCAGTGTACGTAACTTTCATATTTATGTATTTTGAAAAGTGGAACTTCTTTGAGAAAGGAATTTCATTATTGGAACCACGTTTACAAAGTCCGATATCTGTTTGTTTGAACTTGAGAATTTTTATTTCTCCTTGGAAGATTTGATGTTTCGAATATTGAACCGTTTGGGAATCCAAGTTATTTCAAACTTTTCTTCGTACCATTATACGGAGAGAGTAATGATATATTTTGCAAAGTTTTGAGAGAAACTCAATAATTTATCTTTCAACGTTGAAGTTTAAAGATAAAGGAAAAATTATTAACGGTATGGCATTGATTTATGGTAATTGAAAAATACGGGTTTCATAGAAACTTTGCTGATTTGTAAACGTGACAAGTAAGTATACTATTAAAACGTTTCTCTTCTTTAGTACAACTAGTGAGAATTAACAATTGTATATAAATAGAATAAAAATATAACAGACTATCTTGATAGAAATTGAAGAACTTACATTTTAGTAAAACAAAAGCTTATTTTGAAATTAACTGAGAACTTAATTAAATGATCATAGTTACATACACAGTGGCCGGACAGGTCAAACGAGCAGGAGGTGATTCTCCATGTTAAAATAAGTCTAAAAACAAGAATAACATTTTTTCGTTTAACGCTTCGTTTTCGAGAAAATCGAATTTGAAAACTCTATCCACACGTGCACTGGACTGTCTCCCCAAGTCATTGTTTGCTACAAGTTTCCTTTTGCATTCTAATACTGACGTTTTTAATGTTTACATCTTTTCTTCAATTGTACGGCTTTCTTCTACTTTTATTCTGTTTTGATCAGACAAGCTATGTCAATGTCTACTTATAGCAACCGCGAATATGTCGGTATGATAAAAGCTTTGGAGCTTGTCATGGAAATGCAACAGCAGCGGCTGAATATAGGCAACAATTTCCAAATCGTCGCTATCCGGACAGGAGAGTGATGCACAGGGCAGAGCAAAGATTAATTCAGTGTGGTTTTTTCACAATTACCATAAGTCTGGTAGCAATAGAAGATCTCTAACTTTAGAAACAGAAGTTCTTAATACCGTTGCTAATAATCCTAAAACAAGTATACGAACACTTAGTGCTTATCATAATACCAGTACCAGAACTATTGGTCGCAATAAATAATATTAACATTAACATTTTTTATTTATAAATATATTCAAATCTAAAGATGGTATAATGCACACGTACTGGATAGAATTTTCGAACTTGATTCTTTCAAAAATGAAGCGATAAACGAAGAAATGTTACTCTCTTTTTCGACTTATTTTTACATGTAGTATCACCTCCTTTCGATTGTACCCGTTCGGCCACACCCTGTAAATGTTAAGTATAACCGAGAAGCGTGAATGTTTAGAAATGTATTCTACATTCACATTCACCCCTTAGTAACACTGGAAAAAACACTTGTGACGCACTAGCAGTTGTGTGATAAACCTTTTTCATATTTTTAGTACTTGAATTTTTGGTTTAGGTTTACAGATCTTTATTTTGCATTAAGGATTGCTAAATACAAAATGAATATGGTACTTTAACTTTCTTTATTTGCGTATTGTAGCTTTGAATGGGTAGTTAGGTTTGACGCATCTGTGGAATAAATCAGATCTTTCAAGTTTAAATTTCAAAATTTCCAAATTCCCAAGTTTCCAAATTCCTAAATTACCAAATTCCCAAATTCCCAAATTCCCAAATTCCCAAATTCCCAAATTCCCAAATTCCCAAATTCCCAAATTCCCAAATTCCCAAATTCCCAAATTCCCAAATTCCATTTAGAAACAGAAGTTCTTAATACCGTTGCTAATAATCCTAAAATAAGTATACGAAAACTTAGTGCTCATCATAATACCAGTACCAGAACTATTGGTCGCAATAAATAATATTAACATTAACATTTTTTATTTATAAATATATTCAAATCTAAAGATGGTATAATGCACACGTACTGGATAGAATTTTCGAACTTGATTCTCTCAAAAATGAAGCGATAAACGAAGAAATGTTACTCTCTTTTTCGACTTATTTTTACATGTAGTATCACCTCCTTTCGATTGTACCCGTTAGGCCACACCCTGTAAATGTTAAGTATAACCGAGAAGCGTGAATGTTTAGAAATGTATTCTACATTCACATTCACCCCTTAGTAACACTGGAAAGAACACTTGTGACACACTCGCAGTTGTATGATAACTTCTCATATTTTTAGTATTTGAGTTTTTGGTTTAGGTTTGCAGATTCCTATTTTGCACGGTTAAGGATTCCTAAATACAAAATGAATACGATACTTTAACTTTCTTTATTTGTGTATTGTAGCTTTGAATGGGTATTTAGGTTTGACGCATCTGTCGAATAAATCAGATCTTTCAAGTTTTCAATTTTGAAATTCCCAAATTCCCAAATTTCTGAATTTCCAAATTCCTAAATTCCCAAGTTTCTAAATTCCTAAATTTCAAAATTCCCAAATTCCCAAATTCCCAAATTCTCAAGTTTCCAAATTCCCAAATTCTCAAATTCCCAAGTTTCCAAATTCCCAAATTTCCAAATTCCTAAATTCCCAAGTTTCCAAATTCCCGAATTGCCAAGTTTCCAAATTCCCAAATTCTTAAATTCCCAAATTTCCAAATTCCCAAATTCCCAAGTTTTCAAATTCCCAAAATCCCAAATTTGTTATTTAGTAACACGTTTTTCCAGGTATTTCAGGGGACCATAATGTCAGCGTCACAGGTGGTAGGAGTTGAAAATGTCATTACAGGATCCGTCGTCTATTTAGCTGCTCTACTTTTTTCACCGATAACGGCGGGCTTCGCTTTTTTGGGCGCACTTAGCGGTTCATTGGCAGGTATCATACTATTTTCGTGTATAAACCTTGAATTTATTGATTCTCAGTTTAGAGCCGTTTTGTAAATGTTACCCACATGAAAATACTCGGTATACTTTTTATTCTTTCAGGTCTCGTACTTGGTGTAGAGATTAATGAAGTATATTCTGGCTTTTGGGGCTATAATACTTTTCTAACCGGAGCTGTTCTAGGAGGAAACCTTTTTGTGATTAATGGACAAACAGCTGCGGCTACTATCGTAGCTATTACATTTACTGTGATCGTACATTATGGTGTACTGTTTTTCTTTAGAAACGTAATTACGTTTACCTGTTTCACTATCTTGTAACAGAGAATAACAGTCATTTTAACACTAAACCTACCAGCGTAGAATCCAACATACAAAAAATAAATAAATGATAAAACACGGATTAATGTACACATTAATTCTTCACATTAATTTTGTAAATTTATCATTTGACCTTTTTGGTAGTTTTAGTGTTTCATGTTAAGAAATTATTCTTATTTCAATGGAAGTCGCTTATTCAATCTGAAGGGACTAAAAAATGCCAACTACTTCACTATAAACTTTTTCATTCATTTTATTATTTTCTTCAATATTTATGCAAAAATTTTTACGGAGGTTTAAAATAATTAGAAAGATGTCTCTATTGAAATGAAAATATGTGTACATTAAACTTCGTATTTGAATGTCAACAGTGTAATATAAATTTAAGTCATTTATAATTTCTCACGAAAAACGTAATTCTGTCAAAAACACAAGTTCTCATATTCGATTTAAAAAAACATTAATTACTTTTCTGCACTATCCTTTTTCTACGACTCTTTTAGCAGAACAAACATTCATTCGTTAAAAATTTGTGACGCACGAACAGTCCCGTGTTGTTCTTTCAAATTAATGCCCATATTGCGGTCACAAAAGTGCAGTTTGAGAAAGTAGAATATTCCAGTAAATTAGAATAACGATAAAGTAAGTTCTTTTTAAATGGTGCTGAAAAGTGAATAATTGTGTGTGCAGCTGAAAATACCAGTAATTTCACTGCCGTTCGTCATGGTGGCCTCTTTGTTCTTGAAATTACGCGACAATCCAGGGGATAAAACCTTTCCACGACCACTATCTCCTTCTTTTCCGGAAAAGCAACGTCGGGATTACATCACCACACAACATATGCTTATTCAGCAAGTATGTAGACATTATTTCTATGCCTATCAAAACCTTTAACGCTTTTTTAAATATTTTTATGCTTAATATTCTCAGCAAGTAATATTTATATTACTTCTATGCTTGTTCTGGAATTCAATGTTTTTTTAACATCTCTAACCATAATTTATAATATTTCTCAGTAAGTAATATTCATATTACTTCTATGCTTGTTTTGGAATTCAATGTTTTTTGTAACATCTCTAACCATAATTTATAATATTTCTCAGTAAGTAATATTTATATTACTTCTATACTTCTTTTGAAAAAACCTTAAATTTTTTTGTAACATCTCTAACCTTAATTTATAATATTTCTAAATAAGTAATATTTATATTACTTCTATGCTTACTTTATCAAAACCTTGAACATTTTGTGATATTTTTATACAAGTTTAATAATATTTCCCAAGAAGTAATATTTACATTATTCCACTTATGACATTCTTGTATAATGAAATTATACAAGATATTGAATGATATTGAAATATTAACAATATTTTTCGGCAGAATGAAAGTTTATGCCATGATGGAAATATGTGCCCTAAGTTTTAATAAGTCACGTAACGATATAAAAGAAATTTTGTAATTAATGATACAAACGAAATTTTGTAATTAACGATACAAAAGATATACAAATTAATGAATAATGTATATTAAAGATATAATTCGGTTACGTTGAAATAACGAATTCAGGAATTAATGAAAGCTTGAATGTGTAATTTGAAATATTATTTAACATAGTTGCAGTCGGCTTTAGCTAATAACAGGTTTTACACGTAACTCGAACTGACAACCACGCCCTGTAGGATCGCACAAATTGATTTCTACCCTTCTCAAGCTTGCCTTTATACGAAACCAAGGAATCTCCTATGGTGTGTAGTATACTATACACATGGTTTTATTCCATCGACGGTTATTGGTGGAAGCACTCAGCGACACGTTTCTGGTTTATTTTATTTGAGACGTTCGAGGAATAGTTTGCATTCGCGTGAATGGAAAGTGTCCGTCGGTGTAAATACTTATATTTGTTTGCAATATGAAAATTCACGAGTGTATAATTATTCTTTATATTTCAATTGAAGACTATTCTTGTAAATTTTATATTAAATTCTGAAATAAATGGAAAAGCAACAACTGAACCGTTGTTTTAAAAACGATTTGATTGTTTATGCTTCTATATTTTTGTAAGAACAATATTTTCGAAAAATGGACTTGTATCATAAATTCTAGTGTATTATATTAAATACTAGACACTAAATGCTACATATTAATAACAGTAATATATATTATAATATTTATAACAAACAAATTATCAAAAAACATTTGTAAAATATTAAAATATACTTTTTTGTTAATACCGAGTTTCATAAACTTTTACTTCGACGAGAAAATTTTGAATAAATCGATTAATAAACGTATTATCCGTCTGAGCCAGACATTGACATTGTCACATGTAAATATTCATCTATCTCGTATAAAGCAATTTTCAAGAACCAGAAGAATTTATGAAGTTGGCTTACTCTTTCTCTACTGAAAGATTAAAAGTTTATTTCGTTATTTACCTTTTTTATAGGCGGACGAACCAGAAGAATCCGAGGACGAGAACAAGAGGAATGTCTCCATGTTTAAGGTTTAATAAATACGATAACTTATCTTTATTTTTTATTTGTAACTGTGGAAACGATAGTGTACATAAAAATGATGGATTTTTCAATGTTTACTTTTAAATATTGACATTAGATTTATTCGCCAAAATGCCGGATCTTTCTTAATTTAAATTATAAAGCTTTTGTCAAAATGTATATCAACTTTTACCGAGATAAAGAATCATTTTTTTAGCAAGTTTGTGGTCTCTTATTTATTTTTTTACTTTAATTCCGAAATCTCGTGTTAATTTTGTTATTTTTCATATCACGTAATTTGCAAGACAAATAAAGCGTTACTTCAAATTTTGAAATACTTTCCCATAACTTACTAACTTAATATTATTTCTCGTATTTAATCTAATTCAACGCAAATAATTTGTTGTCTAACTGGAATCAAAGGCATTTTATAAAATTAATGTAGACTTATTTGGCTTAATGCGAATGCTCGTTGTGACACTCGGAAAAACATGCTTCCGTTGTCACAGAATTCTCTCAAGTTTCCTGCAGAATTCATCTCGCAGAATAATATATTATTTCGCAAGATAAACATCTCCGATAATTTAAACGACCTACTTTCACCGAAGATATTAAGCGAGACGCGTTGTATATAAAAATTGGAAAATTCTGTTTTTCACTCGCGTTCATACGCAGGTATTCGATGACGTCAGCGGTAGTTTATAGGTTTGCCGTTCGATAAGAACAAAATGCCTGCGTGGTGTCTGAACAACTTGGTTACGTTGATTTTTATTTATTCTTGGCTACTTTAAAAACCGTCGTCAATCATTTCTCCCTCTCCGCTTATGGCATTCCATCATCTTTCTATGAAGCTGAATTGAATGATCGCCATTGTGTCTCTTCCATTTCTAAGATTCTATGAATGTCAGTTAACAAGTGAAAAGGATCACAATTTCATTTTTCAGTGATACTGAATTAAATCGCTGTGTAAGTGTTTAAATCCCCAATTAAACAATAGACGGAAATGATATGCAAAAGTCTAATTTTCATACTTCACTATAATGTAATTGTGCTTCGTAATTATATTGGACTTAACAATTCTTTTACTTCATATATCCGGTATCAATGCAGCATTAAATTTCACTATGACATTTTAATAATAAAAAATTATCTATTAAATTAGAAATAACTTTATCAAAGACTTTAATAATATTACAATTGGTTCTTATAGATATACAGAGTGGCACACCACATTTTGCCATCTAGATTTGCGTATTATTATTATTCATAGCAAACAATGTTTCAGATGAACTTGAATGGTTCTGAGAGGGGCATATGCTAGTGGTATATTTTTTTTGTAGGTGGACGTGTAAAGGACATATGAAGGTCATTAATGTTTTTTTAAATGGAATCATATATTTTTTATTGCACTAGTTTTTTTACTAACCTTTTTTTTTTAAATCATGGTAGTAAAATGAAAATGTCAGTAAAAAAAATTCGTTTCCATTTCTTCGAAGACAAATGGGTGGGGGTGGAGTAATGATTTGGGCTGGAATTTAAACGGAATGGATACAAAGGCAAAACAAATGTACAGTTTCTTCAAGGAAAAATGAATTATCAAAAATATATAAATTTACTCTCAAAATAAAGTATTGAACACGCACTACGAATTACCACTGATAAATTTATTTTTTAACATGGCAATGCTGCAATTCTCCGAATTAAAGTCGAAGAACAATTTTTTCAAAGAGAACACGTATCGATTTTACCGTTGCCCGCACGCTTCCTGGACCTGAATATTATTGATAATTATTGGGGAGAACTAGCACGTGCTGTATATAAGAATGGAAAACAGTATGATAATATTAAACAATTAAAAGAAGCTATTAAGACAGATTGGGATATTTTGCCACAAAATACAATTAAAATGTTATACAAAT